AGATTAAATGCAAGGTTGGTGCATAATTAAACACAGGAAATTATGCAACTAATAGTGCGGTTAAAGAATAAAGTTTAAAAAGTCAATGCACATAGATCAAAGAAAATATGACAATAAATTATAAATAAATAGCACAGCAATTATTAAACCATGTGTAATAAATACATAAAATAAAGTTTACAAATAAATAAATCTGCCATATGAATAAGGGAAAGCGATCAAAAATGTTAATGCTTTGTTTAAACTCATCAAGAGTGTGATTTCTTTTAACAGACATTGGAGAGCATTGAGTTTTACTACTGACTGCTGGGACACCAGTGTAAGGAGACCAACGAGACCTGTTTGAAACGATCCTCACAGCACAAGCTTATTAGAAATGGATTTAGGTGCAAACCCATTAAGGGATCTGTACACCGGTAACAGAAATTTGAAATCAATCCTAAAATTTACGAGAGGCCAATGAAGGGACTTTAAGACATGCGTAATGTGTGCTTTCATTCTGCTCTCTGTCAGCGCTCGTGCTGCAGCATTAATTTGTAGTCTAGCCGGGCGTTCTCGGGAAGAGCAGACAGGAGAGCATTGCAGCAGTCCAGACATGCATCAATCTCTCAGCATCTGCTCGAGAGAGAAGCGCGTGGACTATGTTTCTTAGCTGATAAAAAGCAGTTTAAGTGGACTGCCTGACGTGGAAAATCCAAATTCGTGCACAACGATACATAGAGGATTTTAACGTGAGACTTAGTATTCAAGAGAGGATTTTCGCATTGTAGACAGTTTCACTCACCGCCCTTTATCCCTGACTAAGAGCCCTTCGATTTTCTCTTTGTTTAGTTTGGGAAAGTTCAGTGACACAGAGTGTTAATACTGTCCATACATTGATCCATCTCTACATTGAGCTGTCGAAACATCAACACATAAACTGATCTTGACTATATGGCTAAAATGACTGGGTGATACAGAGATGCGCAGTTGTGTATCAACAGCAAGAGTATGAAAATCAGTTAGTTTGGCCACCCTGAGTGTCAAATATATAGGCATTTATACCACAAGCTACTGCAAAAAACATCTATTTTCTAACTAAAGTCTGATGCCATAGGAAAACTTGTAGTGTTACCATTAAAATATTAGAATATACCCCATTAGAGTATGAAATATGCTCTTGACAGTTGAATGGGACTTAACCTTCACAGTCCTAGTGGGTGTGGGTGCGTTTTTAAGAGAGGAAATGTTCTCCATTATATACTGCAAAATCTCATTCAGGTTTGGTTCCATTCAGGATGATGTAAAAAAAAACAAAAATTCTTATTATTATTGATGTTAAAAATTTGTTGTGCTGTTAATATTTCTGTGAAATAATTTATTTTTGAAATCTGCTATAGAAAAAATGTATATTCTTTGAATTAGACAAAAAGTCCTCTAGGATGCTGGTTAGATGGTACCTGAAAAAAGAGAGAGAGATTATTTACAGTGTTGACCAATTCCTGACATATACAACTAAAAAAAAGGGTTTTATTACTGTTTATTACTGTTTATTTTCACCTGTTGCTCAGTGATAAAGTAAGAACATCCCTAAACATAAACTGTGTATTCTTGAGCAAAAACCCAGTTAGGAACATAATTGTGTGTACAGGCCTGGGTTCGTGCCCATGTTTGTGTCCCCTCTCTGCAGTTTGTTCTCCTACACTGTAATCATCATAATCATCTGATTACAAAGACTTATTCAGCACTCCCATAAGAACCCTCCCCATCTGTCTGCTTCAAGTGTGCATGTGTGTCTACGTCTCTCATTTGCCTCACGCATTTTCTTAGTGGCCTTTAACCCACTTAACGTGTTACAGTGAGTTCCGTTTTGATCAAAAATGGTAGTAATAGTGTTCGATCGGCTTCCTCTGCTACTTGGCTTGCTTGGCTACGGTCTCAAGAGAGCAGAGCGAGAGAGACCGATAAAGGGAGCTTTCACCATAGCCACTATTAACTAACAGACTATTAATTGTGTTTGCGCGTGCAAAGATGCTGCCTCCAGTCTGCAAAGTCACCGCCGCCTTCAACTGGCACTTGCTCTGGCATGACATCCAATCAGCAGGCAGCCTGCCAGAGACTGACAGGGATTTAACTCGCATAACCCTCCCACATCACTTAGTCATGCCGTGCATTTCCGCATCAGCCAATTAGTGACCCATTATAAAAGCAATACAGAGTATACACACTAACGAGCATTTGATGGTAATATTTAACTTCTATTTCATCAATGTCAGGATGAGAGTGACTTTCTTTCTTTCTCTGTCTGTCTCCCTCTTGTATGCTTCCCATAAAGTCTTTAACCTGTCTGGTCATTTTGCAAGCTCCTTCTATCCTTCTTCATTTCTTCATCTGTCCATTCTCATCCTTCCCACTTTCATTTTTCAGCCATGCTTGTGTTCCTATCCTGCCCCCGTCTTCATCTTCGTTTGACTCTTCTACCCTTATATGGTTCTCTTTCATCCAGTGTTCATCCGTTCCACCTCTCCTTTTCATCTGTCTCCTTTCAGCCGTGCCTTTCCTTTCTCTTTCTCCCTGTCTAACTGCATCTTGTTTTTCAATGGCCCTCCCCTACCTGCGCGCTCCTCTGTTGAACGCTGAATGTTCTTTTAAGGCTCAAAGGTCATGGAAAGGTCATGGCCAGCGTTTAAATTCTGGGAAGTAAAAGCTGAAAGGGAGCCACACTCTCTGGGGAGTGAGAGAGAAAGAGAGATTGTGTCAATGCTAGAGCACTGAATAAGATGTATGCAGGGCAATTCAAGCACGATCTTGTCTGACTCCAATATTAGTTTCCCACTAATCCCTTCTCATGAAGATCTACGGATTCAGTTGGGGTTGGATGCTGTCAGAAAGAAGTGTGTTTAAAATGAACATGTTAACTTCAACATGTTTAATACTGCGCAATTAACACCTTTTTTTTCTTTTCTTTTTGTTGTCTGTGTTCTTGGGTCAGGGTCAAGGAGGTCTGTAACAGTCAGTGAGCGTTTCAGAGTGAAACGTGGCACAGTGTTCTTTTAAATTCGAGCAGATGATGATCCAGTGATTTCAATGGTTTTGAGCAGCATTTACTGTGAACAGAGCGGCTCCAAAACATTAAAATCATTGGATCATCAGCTGCTCGAATTTAAAAGAACACTTTGCCTCATTTCACTCTTAAACATGCAGCGCTTTTCGACATTGAGTAAACAAACTCCATCTCTACATCTGCTCTGAGTTTGTATTGTTTATGACATGCATTTAGCAATTAAACATTTTGCAACCAACTAAACTTATTAAAGGCCTCATGAACTGGCTTTTTCAATTTTATTATATTGTTGTCTGAGGTCAACTGATGACATTTGCTTGGTTTTTGCATTCAAAAACATCAAAATGAATAAGTAATAGGCTATTTTCTGAGCCTAGCTGAAAAACGCTTGGTTTTTATGGGCGTCTCGCACTGAAGACTTGGAAGTAAACGCCCACTGCTGTGAGTCAATAGTAGTTTTGTATATTATAATGAGTTTCAACTCACCCGTCGGTGCACTTGGGGGAAATTGTTTTGAAAACGTCCAATGTTGTATAATGGCAACTGGAACGATTCGCCCATATATGTTCGACCCAGAGTCCGTGTGTTGCACCATTCCTGTCGGATCCAATGTAGACGGCACAGCACCGTTCTTTAATCTTAATCGCTGCACAATATTCTGTATTGCTCGCTAGCTCGATCCGGTTTGTCATCACGAGGTAGGCGGGGCTAAATCGGACACGTTGATCTTCTTCTTCTGCGGGGGTGGTGTTTTATCCTCTTTGACGTCGTAGTTCCCCACTTTGAAAACCGTGTCGTTTGCTGAGCCTGGTGTCAATAAAAGCTTTTATTGGACTAACAAGGTCGTTTTCAGTTCTGAAACTTACAGGATATTCTTATAATATGATGACCTCTTACAGTAGATGTCAAAAGCTCAAGGAAAATTAGATTTCTCAGTTCACCCCTTTAATATTGTTTATTATAATCACAACATTTTTGTCTAAATTGTGGAGCCCTACAGGCAAGCACAACAAACCTAGAGTTTTTTAATCGTTGTCGCAGTTATATATATATATTTTCCCCCAGAATCATGCAGCCATATTTTCTTATAACTTGTAATGTTAGAATCCAAACATTTACTATTCTCATAATAACACATAATTAATTACCAGTGTTACATATACAATTTCAGTTAAATAGTGTCAGTTTAAATGGTGTCATTTATTTTCATTGTTGGTTATCAATTGTTATTAATGACATTATTATTTTCAATATCAGTAGTTTGTTACAGCTCCACAATATTGGATTATCTCTAATGGCAAGAGCTCCAGATGACTGCTATGCATCAATAAACATATTTGTTAGATATCATTTTGTTTTCTTGTATACACTGTCAAAGGAATCAATATAGATTTTCTTGGAGCTAATTCAGAATGTAAGATTGATTCGGTAAACTACAACACAAAAGAAATTTATCCTAATGAATTATTTTAAAGTATTGACTGGTGTACTGTATAGTGAGGTACGTTACTTCCATGATTTAATTGCCTTCATTACCGGGCAGTTGTATAACTCTCTCTTGTTTTGAGCTTGTTTCTTCCCCCCGCCCCTAGTCTTTTACCCTTTTTATCTCCTCTCTTTTCCGCTATCTGAGCATCTATATCTCTTCATCTCACCCTCCATCTATCTTTCGCTCTTCTCTTTCATTTGTCCTCTGAGACCATCTCTCTTTTCTTGGTGGTCGATGAATGTTTGGCTAAAACATGGGGGTGGTTTTGGATAGTGTTTTTGTTTTGTCCTTCATGCCTCTTTAAATGAATTTCTATAGAGCAACCATTTGTACTCAGGCTGTTTCATGTATCGCTTTATAAAAAAAATGCACCAGTGAAATGAAAGTTTAGAGTACATTTGAACTGCTGTTGTTTGTTTTCTGTTTCATCACCTCTGTTCTCTGTGTTTTTTTTCTTTGTGTGTGTAGTGTGCTTTGAGTGAGTTTTTGAGATTTCTGAGTGTGTGTGTGTGATATTGTGAGAGCAGAGATGGATGAGAAGCTGTACCAATCTCTGGCCCGGCCCCACCCCGGCCTGGAGCTCAGTTACTCCAGCTCATCTGATGAAGAGGATGGTACCAACCTTCATCACAAACACTACAGAGAGGCGCACACCCGTCCTGATTACGAGCCTGACCGCAGATTCACCTACAACAGCCACAAAGTCCGCAGGAAACCCTTGGAGCATCCCCAGAATGGTAAGACTGTCTGTCTGTTTGTGTGTGTGTTTGTGTATCAGGGTTGTGTGCCATTCAGAATAGAATACCTTTTAAATTAAATTTAAACTTCAATTTTTAAGTGTAAAGTACAATGAAAATCATTTGAAATTCAAAGAACTTCACATGCACTACTGTTTGGGGTTAATAAGATTTAAAAAAATTTTTTTTTAAGAAGTCTATAAGCTAAACAAAGTTACATTTATGTGATCAAAATACAGCTAGACAGTAATATAATAAAATAGTATTACAATTTAAAATAACTTTTATTTTTTTTTTACATATTTAATTTAAATTTTACTAAAATTTTATTTATTTCTGTCATAGCAAATCTGAACTTTCAGCAGCCATTACTCCAATTTCCAGTGTCACATTATCCATCAGAAATAATTTTAATATGCTTATTTAGTGCTCAAGAAACATATCTTATTATTATCATTGTTGAAAACAATTGTGATGCTTAATATTTAATGGACAAATATTAATTGTATTCATGTTTTTCAGAATTATTTGATGAATAGAAAGTTCAAAAGAACAGCATTTATTTAAAATAGAAATCTTTTGTAACATTATAAATGTATTTACTGTCACTTTTGTATGAATAATAGTCATATTCATTTTTTTTTAAAGATAGTTTGAAAAAGAAAAAGTCTTGTTTAAAATGTATAGTCTATTAAACTAATTGTTTAAAAGAGATAATCACAATAACCAGGGGTGCACATAAACTGTGGTAAAAATAAACCATGCGCAGAAGTGTTTTTGAGTAGCATTTTTTTTGGAGAAAGGGACGTGTAAGATAGCAATCATGATGATAAGTGTGTTCTTTAATTATTAGGGGTCGCAGTCGATCCGTGATCTGCACCGACCAGGCCTCCAGGCGGTGTTGCCAGACGTACGATAATTATCATATTTGTACGATAATTTTGACCTCTGTATGATGTACGATCAATAATGAAAAAAAAAACATAATGTACGATAATTTCAGAATTTTGTGACACTTCAGTGGGAGGTCATTCTAATCATAGTACTTCTATACTCATTGATCTAGCTGTGGATCTACGTCATGTTTGTGAGGAGAAAGTGAAGGTGAGTGAGCATGGCAGGGAGGGAGAGCGTGTGTGCCTTATACACCCCTCAACAATCCAGCCCCCCCCTCCTTCCCAAGCCACAGCTGAGAAAGGAAGCGGATGTGTGTCAGTAAATTCGGTCCGTGCATTCGGTCTTAAAATGACCATAGGCTAATATTCCTATATTCCTGCTGTTGTCTGTGTCATTAATGTTAATTAATAAAATAAAAACGACAGCTTGTAGGATAAGTGTGCCGCGTAAAGTATGGGTACCACGCAGTATGTTCAGGTACTCCCTTGAAAACAGACCAAAAAAAGTTATGTGCACTCTTCACAATAACACCTAAAAATAGAGACTAAATAATGTCTTATTTCGATTTTAGTCGAGATAGAGTTGTTGCAGTATATAGTTTAATTTAAAATGCACAGCAGATTCATTTATATATTATGACCAACTTATATAACAAGTAATGGATGTCAAATGAAATTTCCACAAGGATATGTGCATGTCTGCATGTGTTTGCACAAGAGAGATATATAGACAGCATTAAATGATGGCAAATAATTAATATCCCTCTACATTTAGCTGGACACTGGAGCTGTCATCATAAGCAGCTGACATTGGATGAAAGGCTGCATTATCTAAAGGAGTTCATAGGCAAGCTGTTGTTGTTTTGATAGTTGCTTTAATGATAGTGATTATATGGTATGATTCCTTAGTAAGGAACAGAATTCTTTGAAAACTCACTGTAAATTGAAATGAGCTATCAACAGACACACACACACACACACACACACACCAAACATCAAACACTATTGTCATTAAATAATGATGGGATGTGTGTTTTTACTTTTGAATAATGAATACAATTTAAATTTTTTAATAATATAATTTATTTCACCCATTATTCTTCTGTCTTTGATATTCTAGATTCATGGATTCATTTTTGCTTGTCTGAGTCCCAAGGGTGAAATATTTCCATTAATTAAAGGATTCCCTATAACTAAGACACACACACAGGCAGTGTTACCTTTAATTTTTATTCTTGCTGAGTAGAACTTACTTCGGTCGGACCCTTTGGTCACCTGAACAGAAACATGTAGATTATATGTACAGTAAGTTATTTTTGATTAAAAATCAAAATTATATTAATAAAATGAAAATAATGATTACGTATTCATACATAAATATGTATTATATAAATAATTAAATATGTATGATTTAATTATATATTAATACTTAATAATAAATTATGTTATTCAGATGGCATACATATTAATTTGGTTTTGAAACCAAAAACAAGACAAAAAAATAATAATGCATGACCTCTGTGGGTTTCTTTTTGCATAACACATTATGAACTCAACTTTCCACAAAAGATGTCTCGTATTTAAAAAAAAATGGATATGTGGAAAGTTGAAATGCTGCAAATTAGGGCTTACCCCTATTAGTTGACCAAATTTTAGTCGATGAGAAGAATCCGGTCAACCAAATTTTATTGGTCACAGAAATAAAAATCTCTGTAGGACAGATCATTGACACTGCTGGTAATTATGGTAATCATGTTGGGCAGGCAATCCAAATGTTTGCCCATCATTCATCGATCTGAAACATCTTATCATTTGAAATTTTCAATGGATTTACATGACGACTAGGAAAATCCTTGGTCAGGGCCAGACCTCTAATGTTAGAGCAAGCAACCATTATAGCAGCTGTAATTCAAGGAAACATTATTTTTAATCTATCTTGAGTGCTGAATTTTATTTCTCACCTGTATGGAATAAACATCAGGATAGATTGATAGATGCATACATATCTACATTGGAGGTTGTTGAGCAGGTTACAGTGAGGCTTTTTGTTTCCTCTATGAAATTATTCAAATGCTGCATGCAGAACAAAACACTGTGTTCCAGTTACCACGGAAACAGCTTCACAAATAATGAGAGAGAGAGAGAGAGAGAGAAAGGGGTAAAGAAAGGTCTTTCACCCACTCCTCTTACTCTAGCTTTTTCCATCCAAGTCTGCTTGTGGACAAGTATGTGTGTGTGTGTGTGGGTCAGGCCGAGTAGCAGGGGGTCATGTTCTCAGTGAAGGACGGAGAACTGCATCGTGGGCAATTAGTACTGAGATGATTAGAGCAGGGAGAGCAGTGAGAGGGGTCGCCACAGAGACAGGAGTCAGAGAGGTAGAGGAGAGGATTCTTAAGGACACTTGAGTAAAGAGCTCGCTCATCACACACACACACACAGGTCTGAAAAATCACACTTCTTCAGCACACACACACTCAGTGCTATACACTTCCGGGAAAGCCCATCAAGAGCCCATCACCTTTACTTCAACAAATGAAGAGAAGAGGAGAGATGAGAAGATATGAGGGCAAGAGATGAGTTGAGATGAGAAGCAACAAGACGAGGTTGGAATAAGAAAAGAGATCAAATTAAATAAGAAGAGGCAACATAAGATGAAAAGATATTGGAGAAAGAGACTGTTGCCTGCTATGTAGATATATTTGCTAACAACTCAAAGTTCCCAAAAAGACCAGTCAATGGTAGTCAACATGGCAAACAATAGTTGTTTACATAAAATCTTTTTTTGCACATTTATGTTTTGCTGTCTATTTTTTTTTACAAAGGCTAAATCTAAATGACTAGTTTAAATAACACAACATTGTATTGTATATCTGGAGTGGAAAACAAGATCATTTATTTTGAACCCAGATCTTGCATCCGTTTGTTTTCTCCATGAAATGCGCAGGCAGGAAGGCAGCGAGGTGAAGGGAGTATTTTGAGTAAGCGCGTTTGTGTAGTCATGTCAAAATGGCATATAACAATTAGGACTACTGATGTGAAATTTTATACGGATTCAAAGGGGAAACATGAAAGAAAACATTACAATAACAGATCCTACTTCAGCCTATGTATATTGTAGTTGCTACACGTTAAGCTTTTCTTGTGATTTTGCTGCCTGTCATGTGTACAGGTACTTTTCACAAAAAAGAGGCATGTTCAAACCCAATGTGTAAAGGGGTCGTAATGAACAACAATACGTTGACGTACAGATTTATGTTCGTGAACTAATTTGAAGAATTCTGTTTATAATTGAGTTTGAACTATGGGTCCCTCACTGCCTATTTATTCAGTTGATCATGATAATTCAGTTGATTGTATGATGATCATAATTCAAGGCAAGCACATTGTATATATTTTTCAGCTGCATTGAGTATGAGATTTGACTGTTTGATTCATATATTAAGTAGACTATTTAAAAGGGGTCCCTCTGCGGGTTTGTTAGACTAGTCGACTAGTCGGTTACAAAAGCTTACTTTTAAACGTTAAAGGGATAGTTCATCCAAATATGAAGACTTGGTCATTACTTACACACCCTCAAGTTGTTCCAAGCCTGTATGAACCCCTCGCCCCTGGTGAACCCGTAGTATTTGTTGAGTACCAGACACGCTCTTGGACAATATCTTTTTCCTAGTAAACAATGCTTTTTGAGCACCAATTCAGCATATTAGAATATTAGATTTCTGAATGATCATGTGACACTGAAGACTGGTATATTGTATGCTGAAAATTCAGCTTTGCCATCACAGGAATTAATTACATTTTTAAATATATTAAGATAGAAAACAGAGATTGTTTTTTTTTAAACAATGGCAGTAAATCTCCTTGAATCTTGAGAGAATGTGGTGTTGTGTGTGTGTGTGTGTGTGTGCATGTGTTTGCTAAAATGAATTGTCAGCGCTGAAGTAAAAGTAAAAATGACAGAGAAAAGTAGTGCTACACACACACACTCAATGTGTTTCTGTGTAGGAGAGTGCATGTGTGTGTATCGGAGTGTGCATATGTGAGTCCATATGTCTCATCTTGGGGGAATTTAAATGGTTTTCACATTCTGAGCATGTTAAAAGCAGAATTCTTTTCTGTTAAATATTTATTTGGGGTTTTATAAGTCATTCTCCATCTCTGAAGAGTGAACTAAATTGTTTCTGAGCCAGGCTCCAGAAATCTCAGCAGTCAGTACACAGCTCCAGTGCTGAACTCTAATCCACTGGCCTGCGGGAGTGTGTGTCCGTTTACTAAAACTTTGATTTGTGAAATAGATTACATTCATTCACTCCTCTCTATTTTATTTTTTTTTCTCCCAGATTTCTCGGATCCTTCCCAGACTGTGTTCCCTGATTTCCAGACAGAGCTTCACGCAGCCAATCAGGAGCTTGCATACCCAGGAGGCGTGTCTGCAAGTGTTCCCTCTGATCCTGAATCCGAGGGCGGCGCTTCTCCCGACCACGCCCTGCGCTTGTGGATGCAGGAAGTGAAGTCCGAGCACAGCTCCTGCCTGTCGAGCCGAGCGAACTCAGTTCTGTCCCTCACCGATACAGAACAAGAGCGCAAGTCTGAGCCAGAGAACGGTACAGGATTATTTTATATTATTAGACATTCTATTATTGTATTTTTTTATAGGTCAACCAGATTGTGGTGTGGTGATAATGATGATGTTCAATAATATTTAATTTTTATGCGTGTGTGCCTGTGTGTGTGTGTGTGGGTTACTCTAAAGTGCCCTCATCAGTGTATGACTTTACAATTTTAATGAGAGCTGCCGCAGTGGGAGATACACATGCAGTTAAACAGACTTCCCAGTTTTGCTGCACACACACACACCACTTTCACTACGATACTCAGTGATGCAATATTTATGTGCCGCACTAATAACTGCTTTGGTGTGTAAACTACACTCCATTATGTCACACATGTACTCACACACTCACATTAAGGTTATGTTATTGTTAAACACACTTGCGTAGGGTTGTATTTGACTGACCCCTGCGGAAGCACTGCAGACCATTGTCTTATGGGGATGATTTGCTATATCTGGCCTTGTAGTGCTTTCTACTCTCCACATAAAGGGCTCCCGCTCTTTTCTCCACACTCCTCCTTCCACGAACATCCTCTTCAACTGTAGTACTTGACTTGGATCTGCTATCTGCTTTTTTTTTGCTTTGCATCTCTCTTCCATGCACATAATGTATGCACTGTCTTATCAAAGTCGCTTTGATAAGAAAGTGCCTGCCGAGAATATAAACTCAAATGTGAGCGGCGACAGTATGATAACACTAAAACAGCATTATATCAATTAGTTAAGTGCTAAATAATTGTCATATCATTGAAAACATGTTTTGAAATGAAAGTGTTTGATGTAGCCTACTGTGCAGATTCACTCTTATTACTCTGTGTATATTTCCCAATGTTAGGAAAGAGTGACTGAAGTTTCTTTTTAACATGGTTTCCTTTTAGTTTGCTTATCTTAGTTTACTTAAAATTTAGTCATGTTTCTGTACAGGAAAAAAAGGATACTGTCCCAGGCAGCTTAATATAATTAGCTTTTTCAATTAAATTGACATATATTTCCTTTAACCTTAAAACACAAACAATGCAAACATAAAACACTTGAAAAATCATTACAAAATTCCTTCATATTAATAGTACATCGGGCTGTATTACACACTGTATTTCAGAGTGTGTATGACTGACTTTCTCCCCTGGAATATAAAAGATATTTTGTAAAATGTGCCAGATTTAGCCAACACTGGCTAATTGTGTAATCCTTGTTACAACTATGCACTGTAATAGTACATTCAGTGATATTAATTAACAACATGTACTTACTATAATTAGGGCTAGTGTTAGAGTGTGATTTAGGGTTAGTTGGACACTGTAAAATAAAGTGTTACCGGAAAGTGATACAGGTTTGGAGTTAAATCAGGCTGAGTAACAGAGTTTTCATTTTTTGGTGAACTATCCCGTTTAACAATTTAAGCTGCACATTTCTGCATGTTGGGTTGTAGGATACGGCCAAAACCGCGTCACATCATGAATACGTTTATTTAGTATATCACAGTATAATTATTTTAGCTGTAAAAAAGGTTGTTACAAATACTATTAATAGCCTAAAAAAAAAAAAAAAAAAAAAATACCAAGCCTATTCTAGGCAGGAAAAACAGGTTTTTAAAATGAGAGAAAAAGAAATGTACAGTAGGACTTGGTTTTGCCCATCGAGAATTGATTGGATCATTAGATCTTTGTGGTTTGCTAATTGCTACGATCTTGGTAGTGACAGGTTGCTGGAAGAAAGGGATTATTTTACAGCTCTTGCGCACAGTACTCTTTCAGTACTTTCTACCAATGTCTACTGGTTTATTATTAAACCAAAAAGGCTGTTATTAAAGGATAGATCAGTATTAGACCAGACCACAAAACTGGGACCAACAAGTTACTGATTTCGCATATAAAGAGGTTATCGATGTGTAACTGCTTTGCAATTGCTAAATTAAATGCAGTGAAAAAAAAATAAACCTTGACTAATGTTAAAAAAGCACAGAAATGCTATGAAATGGCCCCTTAAGAAAGCACCGTCAATTTAAATTATATGAACCATCACAAAACTTTTTTCCGTTGGCCTCAAACAATCTTTTCAGTGAATTATGTTTGGCTTTGGACAGCGAAGTGGACAGCGAACATGCACACTCACACTGAAAGATAGATGTGGTATAATTACCATCTTTGCATCCAGAGAGATCTAATGAATTTCCCCTGATTCAATAGATGCAAATTACAATTAATTACAAAGGCTGGACAGGCGCTTTAAAGCCAGACCAGATTGGTGTGTGCTCAATCAAGTAGGAGAAGGAAACTAACGTCTCAAAATCCTGGGTCAATTCAGAGGTTTCTTAATATCAAGCTTCTCATATTTGACACTGTCAGTGCAATGCACCGTAACCGTTCATACCGAGAGCTCATGAAGCCAATTACACAGTTTCTCATGCAGAGTAGATAACCATGCAAACACAGAATAAAAAAAGGCTCCCCTTCTCTGAAAAATAATAAACGAGAAAACATCCACACAATATTTTTTTTAATATATTCTGCTGGATTTTCTGATTTTCCACTACTACAACTGTCACTTTTTCCCCAAACCGTTTCCCGAGTGGAACACCACAGTAAGACTAATGCTAATATACTATAAGCCCCCGATGGCTTCTCAACAGTCTGCCTGCATTTCATGCCATCCACTCACATTAGTTTGCCTTATAGATTCGAGACGGCTTTTTCAGAGCTCACAGCACCTGTGCTCCCACTCCCTTGAGAATGGCAGCCATCGCAGGTGTTAAAAGAGTCTTTGGCTGTCGGGAGCCACGAGGTCCCTTGTCTCAGTGCAGACTCCCGCCTTTACAGTTCAGCCTGTGTCACAGCTCCGTAGCTGATAAATGCCGCAGTTTGTTCATCTTCAAATGATGGCAGACTGCAGATTGCACAGTCGCAGTAAGTTCATTATCACGCTAAAGGTTTTTAATTTACAGAGTCTTGAAAAGGTAAGATGAGACTACAATGAAAGTCGAAGGTGACGGAATTGAGACCGACACGAGGCGGTGAAAGCAGGGTGTTTGATTATCGGGCAATAATACAATTAATCCAATGAATGTCTGGAGGAATTGAAAAACTATACGTCTGCAGTTCAAATTGAGCATGAGGGAACAGTCGTTCATCGCACTTTTCTGTTTGAGCGTGTGAGTGTGTGTTTCTTGTGAAAGCTCATGTAACAGTCAATCCTCAAAACGACAGTGTGTAAATGCATTGGGCTTTCAGGTCTCAAAGCAGGCACTCTAGTGTCTTACCAACACCGTCATTCCACAACATGTGTGTGTGTGTGTCTGTCAAGTCACTGAACCTCTAAAGCACTCACAGATGTGTGTGTGTGTGTTATATGCAACTTTAATATCAATTATTTTTCACTATACAACACTAACAGAGCACTTGTTCTGCCAGAGTGACTTTACTTTACAGCAACACACATACACACACTTCTCAGCAGAGTGAATGTAAATCTATACGCTGTCCACGTAGTCATGCCCCCCACACCACAGTCACACCTCCCCTCTGTATTGAATTATGACTCTCACTAACTGGTATGAATACAGAAAACACGGAGATAGAAAACAATCACTTTTTTCGTTCTCTCTCTCTTTTCATCTTCTCATTTAATAGCAGTGGAACCAGCCTTCATTTCACATTCAGACAGAAATACGCTTTTATTTGTTCCGTTCTTTAATGTATTTTTTTTTTTATATATTCGATAATTTATTTATTTGTGTTGCTTTATCCTCTGACAGGAAATTGTCAGAGGTACAAATTAGAATAAAATGACCTCTCTTCCTTCCTCCCTCTCTCGCTTCCTCGCACCCTCCCTCTCTCTGCCTCGCAGTAAGATTACTCTATTAATTCTTTATGCTTGTAGGTGGCACAGATTCCGGATCTGAAATGATGGATTTTCACCTATGAATTAATTTCATCTCTGTCATTTAAAGTTCAGCCATCAGAGCTGTCGTACCATCAGGGAAAGGGAGAGAGAGAGAGGGAAGGATGGGTATTTGAGGAGCAAGAGTTTACGGTTGCAAAGAAGATGTGAGGTTTCCTGCTCCTCTGAGAGATGGACGATAAAACTCTCTTTTGATTCTCGGTACGTGCGTGTATTTAAGAGGTAACAGTTGCTGTGTTATTTGGAACGCATTATTTGATGCTTCTAAAACATGAGCAACAGAAATCATAGTCGAGCATGAAAATGGAGAGAATATATTCTCTATAACTTTAAAGAGCCTGAGCGGCCCCATCTGATGCTCGTGACATTATTAATCTATATGCCCTTCAGAGGAACAGGAAATGGATAATTGTTTCCCCCTTTCTGAACATTCTGGGTCACTCACCCCAGAACCACTCATAAAAGCAACAGATGAGATGATGTGGGTTACAAACGACCACAACTGCATGAAATCTTTTTGTGTATACTGGCAAAAATCAAATGCCCATTAATATAATGCTATTAAAGTGCGTTACAACCATATTGATTATAGTTATAATGCATAATAAAGGATAAAAAATTTCCTCAGAGCTTTTTTTTTTATGGGTGGGGGGGTGGTGTTAACTCCAAGCGATGATGAGGCCTGCAGCAGACAATCTAACGCTCCAGATTGGAGAATAATCTCTTGGGCACACAGAGATTTATGAGAGGGCTAAACTCTGAGAACCATTAAAAGGATTTTCGAATAGAACGGATGGTGGCATACTTATAGTTAAGCATCTGGGCTTGTAACACAATTACCAGTGAGTTTAATAAAAAAAAAAGAGCGAGAGAGAGAGAGCGAGAACAGAATTATTTAAAAATGAAAAGTGACTAAAATCTAATTTTCGAGGTAACATTGTTCCTTACGTAAGGCTCATCATATGTGAGCAGATTACCCAGCTTTTCAGTTTGTGACGTTAGGGAGATTTCTGTTTTTTATCACTTAGTTATAGACTTGCCAATTTAATAAAGCAAAAACACTGAATAGATGGTTTAGTGTACAATAATAAAGGT